AACGTACATAGGAAATGTTATGATAGATAGAAACCACAGAGAAGGTTACTAGAGAATAGAGTGATATGGAGTACAAAAACGGTGAACTCATAATGGGAAAAAGCCAAAAAGGAGAAGAAGAAGAACTTTTCTCGACGTTTTCGTTTTTGGAATGTAAGGTTTTGCATGTAATACGAGGTAGTTTAAAATATAATTACTTTTTATTATTAATTTCATAGCAACATTAACATTCTGTAGAATTGCAGAGTTATAAAACCCGTTTGTGTTCAAACAATTTTTAATATAGCCCAATATTGTAATTAAAATTTTAAATTCTAACATAACCCCTCTGTGGCTCAGTGGTAAGAGCGCCTGCCTTTAAACCTAAAGGTCGTGAGTTCGAATCCCACCTTGGTGGAAATTTTCGTTTATTAAAAAAATTAATAAATGAAAATAATTTCTATCCTTGTGTGATCGGTACACACCGGAGGGACCGCAGACGTTCGGATACAATTAGCGTCTCTTAGCAAAGACAATGACGTCGACTTTGCTAAGTATCAAGACAATTACTCTACGCACACACACACTACACCTCAAATTGTAAGATTGGCGAATGGATTTAGTGTCCGCAGTCATTTAAACACAAACAAACAACAACAACAAATTCTAACATTTTTTGAGGAAAAAATTAAGTTAATCCAAGTTTTTTAATGTAAATCTCATAATGATATACCTATAATAAATCGATATATTTTAAATGCAAATGACGTTAAATGGTATTTAACTATTTAACACTACATAAAACCCGTTTTTATATCTCAAAATTTTTTTAGATTGTTTTGAATAGTTATTAGAAATATTAATTTTTCATGGATACTACTAATAAAAAGGATGCACTGTTTCCTGTCATAATAGCATTTTTTAGGCCAAATTATTTGCTTTTATAGTCCAAATCTACATAAAAAAAAGGTTTTATTTTACTACTTATTAAATTGGGTAAAACTGCTGCTATAAGAGTATAAAATTAAAAATTAAAATAATTGCTATGAAATTGTTAATAGGGTATCAAATATTAAGTTGTAATTTTTATATTATTTATAAGTATCTACCAGTCTTTACCAAAGCCATCTAATTAGGTAAAAAAAATACCACGAGAAGAGTACCTTACAAAATCAAAATGTACTGCCAAGTTTATCGCTTTTAAAAAGTACCCCTAAGCTAGCGGGGACAAACAAGCGGAATCCAATTTTAACCTACGTAATATTTTTTCTCTCATTTTTCACTAATTTATTACCATTCTAATAATTTTTAATAGTAAACACCGGTGTACATTTATCTACGCACGATCACGACTTCAGTTGATTTTTAACTGTTGAAATGTGAAAAAATTTCATTTTTTTATACAGGACGAAAAAGTACGACTTTGTGCCCCAAAAATTAGAACGTAAAGTGCCGACTTTATGCCCAGTGTGTTGGGTGAAAAATATGAAGATAACAAAAAACAGTTAAAGGTTGAAGTCAAAGTAGAATAAAAAAAATATTAAAAATACATTTATAATTTGGTTTTGTCAGTTTAAAATTCAACCTAGCAGAATTATTGGCTTCCTATAGAGGGGTAAACAATTGTGAGGGTGGTAAATGAATTGAAAAAGCTTTGTAGCACAGCACAGTGGAATTTTAAAATTACTTTTTTTTTAACCTGAGCTACCACGGGTGAGTTGAGAGGCGAAAAATTAGTAAAAATCGAGCAGAATCATGTGGTATTTCAAAAGTTTGATTTGAATTAGCTAGCTTAATATTCGAGCTTCCGCTTAATAGCTTAACATTTACTTCCCACAAGGAGTAGTTTAGAAGTAAAAAATTATTAAGCTGGTAATAAATTTGTAAAATCCTATCAATACACTATGTATTTTTTATGTACTTATAAAGTATGTGTATTTTTTAATTCTGGTGGCTCGAATATTTAGCCAGCGGGAACGTTTCCAAATAAAATTACTTTAGTCGTGGAAAATTATCAAGGTGGTTAAAGTGAAAGATTAAAGCAAAAATCTGAATTGGTTTTGAAAATGAGTTAACGGATTTTAATATCAGATGTCGCTATTTGCGTTCATTTAAAGCCATGTTAGAGTTGCTTCCTAAGGCAGAAACGATTTATTTTCACGTTCTATGAATTGCCGTTCTGATGAGGCCTAGTAGGCCTAAATACGTATAAGCGGATACATAGACGTACTATACGTGAAATTAAATCGTAACTGTCTTTTTAAATAACCATAATTTTGCATGACAAATAAAACACTAAATACCTATGTTTAAAATTTCTTTATTATTTATGAAAAATCTGGAAAATCCAAAAAGGTGCAATGGCGAGAAATAAATAAAAGACTTACAATCAATGTATTTACCACAGACAACCGGTTTTGCATATGCTAATTTGCTATGAATTTTCAGGTCAGCGGTACATGGCAAACTAAACGTTGAAATTACAATTACCAGTGTAGCTGTCTGGTACAAACTATATAACAATTATACAATTATTATATATGTACATAATCTGCTTACCAGAGGTAAAGAGCAATTAACTAGTTGAAGAAATTTTATGTTCCGATCTAGATTTTAAGCCAAAAACTCAGATCGATGTTTTAAATAAAATCGACTTAAACCAAGATATTGATAATATTCAAATAACTGTGCCAACAATAAATAATAAAAAAAAAATTAGACAGTAAGGAAAAGTGATTTCAAAATGTAAACCTTGACGTGATCAATCAAAATGGTGCGGAAATAGAGGTGGATATTATAGATGACAAAGATCCAGATTTTGTTTCAACAGCAGAAGACTCGAGCTCATAGAGCAAAGATGAAGCCAGCAGTTTAGTGATGATGAAAGATATTTACTGGTAAATCCGAAAAGACGTAAGAAAAAACAAGACAGGAGAAATAACTAAAATAATTCAAGAAAACAAAAGTTTAGAAGTTTTGAGGCGAAATCCTGGAAAAGATGGAAACATTACTACCGATAGAATGAAAATCAGTAAGATTATCAAATGTTTTTATCGTCAAATATATGAGAGCACCGACGAAAAGCAAGATCAGCCTCTGTCTAAAATCACAAACCAGGGATCAGATTTAATGCCAGAAATAATTCCATACGATATTAAAACGGCACTTTTAGAAATGAAAAATAACAAATCCCCTGGCAATGACGGAGTAGTGCTTGAAGCGATCAAACCATGATATGGATATATCCTGATATATATCCGGATATATATATATATATATATATATATATATATATATATAAATCTTGAAAATAAATGTATCCAGGCTTTGGCCAAGCTTTTCACTAAATGCATCTACCAAGGAAAAGCTCTTTCTAAATGGAACAATGCAGTCATTATTTTATTACACAAGCAAGGAGACATAACAGATCTAAAAAAACTACTGGATTTAGATCGAGATACGGCACTAACAATCACTTATTATTATTAAAAAAAAAACTCCATAGAGAAGTCTACAGAATACAACTAACCATTGGCACTGGTATTTGTCGACTACAAGAAAGTATAAGACTATCTGAACAAGAAACCAATAAATTCTGTATACAGCGAGAAGTACGGCAAGTAGACACTGTCTCTTAAAAACTATTTACGATGCTTTTAGAATATACTTGTAAAAAGGCACATCTTAACGAGCATAGTATCAACGTAAATGGAGATAAGCTCCGAAATTAACAATGAGCTGGATCAAATAGTGGAGAGATGGGCGGAGAAGTGACTGACATAAATGACCACAGTGGAGACGTAGACGATAAGAGGGAGAAAAATAATATACCAACAGATGAAGAAGTTGCCAAAGTAATAAAAACGTTTAAAAACAACAAATCCCCTGGAGAAGATGATATACCCCCTGAGCTATTCAATTATGGAGCAAACGCGGTAAAAATACATATTGATATTTCGAGAGAAGGAAAACTCCCAGACAGTTGGAATGTAAGTCTTATAATATCGTTCACAAGAAAGGGGATCCACTAATATGTGACAACTATCGAGGCATATTAAATACTGCATACGAAGTACTGGCTTATATACTACTATGATCATTTACTAGTTTATACTGAGAAAAAAGTGGGCAAATATCAATGTGGATTTCGGAAGAAAAGGTCAACAATTGACCGGATTTTGCTTCTCAGACAAACCTTAGAAAAGACATATGAATATGGAATTGACACCACACCACCTCTTCATAGATTTTAAAAACCGCTCATGACAGTGTAGACAGAAGCGCAGTTTATAATGCCATGGCATGAAGGTCACCATGAAAGTCACGAGGAGCACACAAATAGCGGCAACACAAGATCTGGTGACAGAAGCACACACATTCGAAGGGGCCTCGGAGTTTATATATCTTGGAACACAACTAAATAATAGCAGCCTAGTAAGCGTAGAAATTAAGAGAAAAATATATACCTGGCAAACAGTGCTTACTGTGGACTGAAGCAGGTCTTCACATCATACATAATTAGCTAAAAAATCAAGATACTAATATATGAAACTTTTATTAAACCTGTCCTAAAAGCGACGAAGAACTGTTAGGCCGTTTTGAAAGAATAATACTTAGGCAGATATACGGAGGAATACAAGAAAGCGGGATTTGGCGCAGGTGCTACAATTTTACGTTGTATCAATGCTATGAAAAATGCAACATCGTCTGGTCTATTAAAATTAATAGACTAAGGTAGCTAGGACACCTTGAAAGAATGGACACTGGAGATCCCCAAAGACAGATATTATATTAAGAGCTAGTAGAAACCAGGAAGAGAGGCAGGCCAAGATCTGGATTTAAAACTCAAGTCAAAGATAACTTGAGGGATTTAGCGGTCAGAAATTGCAAAGCAGGGCGAAAGATAGAAGAGAATGGAGACTAATTCTTGAACAGGCCAAGACCCACCCAGGGTTGTAGAGCCAAAGATGGTGATGATGATTGTTGAGTGGCAACTCTGTATAATAAATAACCCTAATTATCTTTTAATACTGTCTTTTATTTAGATTCATATAATTAATAGTTACAATATTCAAAACAAATTTCATCCTTAACAACAATTTGGTAACATGTTTCTTAAATACTAACATTCATTTATATGGTCTTATCAGCAACTATTTCATCAATGTATTTTTGGTACTTTGTACGGTATTTCCTATCTTTATCTAAAGCATTTGCTACTTCTTCATACCAATCAGGGTGTTTTAAATAAATGTGCTTGACAACTTTCTTTATTTTTCTTTTTTCTTCTTCGTCGCAATCATCACAGCCTTTGTCGATTCCTTCTTTCCAGCTTTCTAAAAAATAATTGAACATATTATTTTTAAAGTATATTTATAATATTTATAATGTTATTTGTATAGAATCATACATATCAGAAGAACAAGCGGGATTTCTCCCAAGAAAAGGCACAAGAAAATACATCCTTAATGTCAGACAGCTAATCTAAAAAACTCGTGAATTCAATACTCCTATGCTTATGTGCTTTTTGGATTACACAAAGGCCTTCGATAATGTCAAATGGCAGCAGCTATGGTTTATATACAATACCACATTAAAAATAAACAACACCCATTTCGATCATTTCAGAACAAAGGCAGATGTCAGGCAGCGATGCATAATCTCGCCAACTCCTGTTTAATATCTACAGCGAACACATTATGCGAAAGGTACTAGAAGGATGGAAGGGCGGACTATCAGTAGAAGGTCATAAAATCAATAACTTGAGATATGCTGATGACACTTTCATAATCGCGGCAAACCGAGAAGAAATGGAAGATATAATGAGATGTCTGGAGAAAAAAAGCAAAACATTTGGACTAAAGCTAAATAGGAGTAGGACAAAGATCATGATAGTAGACAGAGCTCGGAATAATCTTTAACGCATTAAAGAAATTTGGGGCTTTGAAGTAGTAAATAGTTTCATATATCTGGGGTCCCAATAACAAATGATGGAGGGTGTGACAGAGAGATACGTAGAAGGTTGACTATTGCTAGAACAGCTATGATGAAACTGGTAGCAATTTGGAAAAATTCTAGAATGACAATAGTACACACCAAACTAAGGCTAGTACGGGTGCTCATTTTTCCCATAGCCACATATGCATCCGAAACGTGGACCTTAAAGAAAGCGGATAAAAATAAACTGGACACTTTTGAGATGTGGGTATACCGCCGCATGTTAAGAATATCCTGGATTGATCATCGCACTAACGTATCGATATTAGAACAACTTCAAGTAAAGATAGGCTGCTTAAACAAATACAACTGAGATATTTGCAGTATTTTGGACACATTGCTAGAAGAACAGGTACGATGGAAAAACTGATAGTCGAGGGTAGAGTTGAAGGAAAACGACCTAGAGGAAGATCTCCAAGCCGTTGGGTAGATCAAACAAAAATATTGAATAAACAAGGATTACATGAAGCCGAACAACTAGCCCAGGACAGAGAAGGAAGAGGAAAATCATGAAAAAACTGTAAAGACCTGATGGTGTCACCACATCAAAAAAGGGATTAGGACTGAGAAGGAGGAATTTGTATAAAATTATTTATCCAAATATTTATCACGACTCCAAGTATTTAGTATAAGAAAGTTCTGATCTCCGTAAGGCGTCCAATGCGCTAATAAGGAACGTCCTATATATATATATATATATATATATATATATATATATATATTATATATATAATATATATACATATATGGGATGCAGCTATGTCATTAAACGTATATTTGTTGATTGAACAAGTCACATACTTGCAGATAAATAAACGTAATCCAGTAAATCACAAATTAGTCTCACCAAAACTATCTCATCATATTGTGAGATTTGCGTGGTAGCTAGTGCACTCCCCAATCACTAATACCATCGTTCCCAGTGGATACATGGCACAGAAGCAAAAGTGTTAAGCATGGTACAGTGGTACCTAAACCATGCCCAATGGAGCTGATGAACTGGAAGATTATAGTATTGGCACATGGTAGGCACACTGTCGTACCTAGCAGCGTTTCGTTTTAAGTCATAGAAAAAAAAAGACACATGACAAAAAGTGATGGTTTAGAAGAGGACCAAACGTAAGTGACTGTTCTTCATCTACAACTAAAAATGTAGAATATAGCAGCTTCGTAGAAGTACGGCTGCTGTAGGAGAGTAAGAAGTCTTAACAAAAAGCCCTGTATCAGCAACTCGACGACACCAAATTTGGCTTCAGAAGCGGATTGGGAACTCGAAAGGCTCTATTCTCGCTTAAGATACTTACACAGGGAGTCCGAGATATAAATATGGAAATATACACCTGCTTTCTAGACTATCGTTAAGTTTTTCACTGCGTCCAACACCGGAAACTAAAAGAAATGCCTAATGCAACAAGTAAAGATAAGGGTGACTAAAGAATAATTACGAAACATTATTGTTGCATAAGTGATTTCCTTTAGATACCTGAGTGCTCTATAGAACACCAATTGAAATTCGACGTAAGAAATTATGACAAGAAGTGAACAGGCTAGACAGACAGATCTATGTGAAAACAATATTACTTTGAGACTGAAAATTAGATTAGTAAGATATATTAGTTTTGCCTTCCCTTTTCTTTTATATGGTGTCAAAGCTTGCACTTTAATGGATTTACTTCAAAGAATACTTAAAGCTTCTGAAATCTGAGTGCATCGGAGAATCCTATAATTAAGTTAGATAGATAGAGTTAGTAGCGATGTTGTTTTGCAGCCGATGTGAAAAGTTATAGAAGTGGTCAGAATATACTGCATTAAATAAAACAAGGCAAGATAGATGGAAGAATATGGCAAGGTCGAAGAAGAACGTCATGGCTTAGACACCTGAGGAAATGGTTTAACAAATCCTTCGCATCCCTTTTTCGAGCTGCCGTCAACAAAATTAGTATAGCAAATTTGATAGCTAACTCACAATAATCCAGAAGGGTATAGGAAGAAGAAAAAAAGTTGTATCCTCAATCCTTCGTTAGAGAAAAGCATCGACGCTTTAGAAATGTACCTTTCTAGGAGAATACTATGCATTTCGACATGAAAAAACTATCACAAGAAAAGCAAGTATATAAGGAAGAAATAAAAGAATTTTTAACAGATACAGAAAACGAACACAATACAGAACTCCACATCCTCTTCGTAGACTTCAGACAAGCCTTTGACTGTATTGGAAGAAATAAATTATTTATTGAAATGAAAAATTAAGATATACCAACAAAATTAATCAGATTAACAAAAATTACCGTGGATGGAGCTCAAGCTAAACTAACAACAGAAAAAGGTAGCACAAAATCCATTGCAATAGAAACAGGAGTGCGACAAGACTATTCCCTGTCAACCACATTATTCAACTTAGCAGTAGAAAGAACAGTTAAGGCCGGCAAATTAAAGAATCTATAGCCCACTGCTCAACACAAATAGTTGCATATGCAGATGAATTAGTTTTTATGGGAAGAGACAAGGAAAGATTAAAAGAAGCAGTAACAATCCCGGCAAAGAAGCACGGAAAAGAGGTCTAGAAATTACTGAAGAAAAAACAAAATCTCTACTCTGCTCTTGAAGAGAAGATAACAGGACTAGAGAAATCAAAGTAGAAAATATTTGGGAGTAATAGTAAATGGCCAAAACCAGAGAAGTGAAGAAGTATCGGAACGAATACTAGCAGGCAATAAAACATACGGATATCATAGGCTTATAAAGGACAATAGCTTATCCAAAATACACAATATAATACATATGTATACAATGCAATACTGAAAATATACAGAGTTGCAATCAGACCAGTAGTTACGTACGCAGCTGAGATAATGTGCCTCACGGAAAAGGATAGAAAAAAATTGAGAATTTTCGAAAAGAAAATCCTCAGACGGATTATGGGCCCGATAAGAATGGACAACGAAGAAATAAGAAGAATAATGAACCATGAACTAAGAGACGTAATGAAGGCAGATTTCTGGAAGTGAGAAACTAGAGGGAACTATGCACATATCGAAATGAGTGGAACAAAATTGTAACAAAAGCCAAGTCATACAAAAAACTTTGACAACATACAAGTGGAATGGGGAGTGATTTACCGCAATAAGCGAATCAGAGAGCTCTAAGTAAGAGCGGCAAACATTCCACCCGGAATGAAAAGCCCTGATGATGATGATGATGACATAGAACTTAATATTAACGTTTACTTAAACATTAGGAAAGTAGAAAACTAAGTAGTCGTACAAAAACCAAAGAAGAAATCTACATTTCATCATCATAATATCTTTACAACCCTGCATGGTCCAGTTATCCCTATCCATTGCCTTCCGGTGCCAAAGAATATTTTCCCATATTCTTAATGTCTTCATCGATGTTATCAGAGAAAATTGTTCTAGATTTTCCTCTTCTTTTTTAATCAATGGGTGTATCAAGGAGCGTTTTATTAGCTGGGCCATTTTGATCTATTCGCATTACATACCCTACCCACCTCAGACGTCCTATCTTATTATATTTTACTATATCTGGTTTCTGGTATGTTCTATAATGTTTGAAGTTATATCTCTTCTCCATACTCCACTCTCATTCACCGCTCTATTTATTCGACTTACGTTTCTTTTGAATTATTCTAACATGCTTTCATTACTTTTTGATAGAGTTCAGGTCTCATATGTTAGGACTGAGCATATTACTGCTTTGTAGAATTTTATCTTTGAATGTATCGATATAATTAAGGATTTAAGAAGTAGGTTAATCTCAACATAGCATCTGTCTGCCATGCACATTCTGCGTTAGTGTTTTTTTGAATGTTGACGAGCGTTCCCAGTTACACAAATTCGTTAACTGCTTTGGTGACGTCGTTGTTCATAACAAGAGGCCATAGGATATGTGGTTGCTTGCTTATTTTTATGTACTTAGTTTTGTTGCTATTTATTATTATTCCATTTTTGTAGCTGATTCTTTTAGTGCTGCATACATCTCTAGTACAGCATTTTCCATTATACCAACAATATTGATATCATCAGCATAGGCGAGGATTTGCACTGATTTAATTGATATTAAACCAGTGATTGTGATTTGTACCATATGTATTACTTTTTCAGAGCCTGATTGGACAATATACAGAAGAGAAGATCTCCCCAACACAGCCCGGTATTAGACCTACATATCTCAAAAAATAAAAACAAGATAAATAAAAGAAAGTTTCACCTAGAAGAAGGAAAACACCAAACCGCAGAATTTACCGGTAAATAAAAACTTACAAAAGATATAGGGAAAATAATTGAAGGAGAAGAAGAAAACAGAAAAAATAAGAACAAAT